CAACTGTCGAAGCTGACAGACCCAGCAACTCTGGCTTAGACCTGCAAGTGAATGGGCGAAAATTGGTAGAACGTGAAGTTTACAGAGAACCGTGTGAGGTAGTATTTGGGAGAGTCTGACAAATCTTGTGCCCCTCATACGATAGGTGAGGAGCCTGAAACTCAGAGATCCAGAGACTCCAAGCCTTACTCGCTTATCAACTGAGTGGCAGAACTGGGGCCATGTTGGTTAACTGTGAAGGAGAAGAGGACTGATATTCAAAGACTTAGAAAAGAAAAACTTCTTTGAGGACCTGGCATGAGTCAGCTAGCACTTTCATTTTCTATTGGTTTTGGTGTATTCTGAACTCAGGATTTACACAGGGAATATTCACGCTGTTTTGTAATTTTTTTTGTTTGAATTCATTTTGTAATAACAGCTTAATCAATGCACTTTATATGCCTCTTGTAACGAGACTATGGTAAGCAAGGAATAAAATGAATTAGTTGTCAGATTTATTGATTTTTGTAAAAGGAGAAAATCATTGCTTCTTGGCCTTTTGGCTAAGATCAGGTGTAAAGGAAAAAAGTCAACTCCTGTTTCTTGGTATACTTTCTATTGCTTAACCCCCCACATCCCATTTGCAAATGTTTTTCTTTGTTCATTATGCAAAATTATAAATGGTGAGCACAAATTAAGATTTTTTTTTTTTTTGGTACTGGGGATTAAACCCAAGGCCTTTTTACTGAGCTACATCACCAGCCCTCTTCCTTCCTTCCTTTCTTTTCTGGGGGTTGAATTTGGGATCCTCTTGCCTCATCCTTTCAGAATGCTGGGATTACAGGTATGTACCACCACACCTGGCTAAATTAAGGTTCTTTTTTTTTTTTCTCATTGAGTTTATTGGTACATTTTAGGTATACAGTACAGTTACATTCATCATTGGGATCTTGTACCTTTACATGACTGGTCTTGATTCTCATTTTTTCCCTTGTCCCTGCCCTCCCTTCACCCGCTCCTACCTGCCCCATTTACAAACACTTTTATTTCCATTTTTTCATTTTCTCATATTTTTTCTTTTCCCTTATTACCTTTCCCTTACCCTTCCCACTTTCCCTACACCTTTAACTCTTTTCTTCCTATTTCACATTAAATTAAGATTCTTAATGCTTGCTGTCTAATTGTACAGCAGTGTATCTAAGTGGAACCACTTTGTCTTAAACTAAATCCATGATAGATTAAAAAAAAAAGAGAAACCATTTTAGGAATTGTTTTCCTGTTTGGTATCTTCTTTCTTCGTATAGGGTTTCAGTTTCTCAAATAAGCATGGTGGTTGTGCACAGAAGAGAAATGTGTTAGAAGAATGTGGACCCCAGGAAACAGGAAATTGGAAAGAAATTGTCCTCCAAGCTAAGCACGTTGCGTCTTCCTTTGAGGAAACACTGGGTTGTTATTTGGATAAGACATGGCACGACAACAAACAATGTTAGCTTGGCTGCAGCTGCGGTGTGGGGATGGGGAGGAGCCAAGAAGATGATTACCCCTGGGGTTCTCCTTTCCCTTTTTTACCAAGAGCAGAACATCTTTGCTGGGCCTGTTCACATGGCAGAGAGCATGTCCTCCCTTCAAGTGGAGGCCTCCTGGTGTTCCTGGCCTGCCGACCAATGTTCTCTGAGAATGGAGAACTTCAATTTTCAGATGAAGTGAAAGAAGTGAGGCTGGGCAATCAGAGTGGTTCTAAATCCCAGCTCTGTCTACCTGGTTTCCTTCGGAGAAAAAAATTCTTGACTTTTCCGAGGTTTAATTTCTACAAATGCAAAGCTGGAATAATAAATTCTTAACACGCAGAACTTCTGTGAATTAAGTAAGGCAAAATTTATGAAGCATTTGGCGGTTTCTGGTCTAGAAAAGAGCTTTAGTGTGTGTCAACTTTTTTTTTACCTTTTCTCCCCCAGCTCCCCTACCGGGCTCCTGCATCTCTGGTCACCAGCTCTGAGAGCAGCCTGGTCTGTCCTCTTTGCCCATTTTCCCTTTCCATCTCTGTGTCAGATCCAACCTGGCTTCTCTCTAAATCTAATATTGTGTGATGGTGTCTGTCTAGAGCTTTGAAAGTGTTCCTAAGCCAGAGATCTCAAGGGTGTTTTACTTCCAGTCCCCTCTGAACTCTACTGCATTCTGACTCTGTGATCCCATCAATAATTATGGCCTTCACTCATAGACGGGGAGGCCTCTCAAATCGATTTCCCATCTTGTCTCCTCAGGTCAGTCTGTATGCTCTCTGCTTCTAGATCTCAGTGATTAACAAGGAGTCATGCTGTCAGCAATTAGCCATTTTGCAAACACAGCCGTAAATGCATATTAGCCTCACCTGTTAATTGAGTGCCTCTTGGAGCCATGTCTCTGAACCAGAATACAACACAGAAGGGAAAAGATGTAGCTCCCGTCCTCGGGAATTCCTAGGTCAAAGAGGGTTCCAGTGTCAGGTCCTACAACCTCTGCATAGAAACAAGTGCTGCTGAAAGGAGAGAGATTTCCATTTTAACAGCAGATAACCTCGGCCTTTAATGCTGTCATTGGAGACAAGAATAAACCATTGTCAGTGCTGTACTATCACATGGGAGAGGGTAATGTAGCGAAAGAAAGCGCATGTAAGAACAGAAAAGGAAGAGGGGAAATGGAGAGAAAGGAGAAAACCAGGGATATCACAGAAATCTCAGAATGCTTAGAAAGGAGGTAAATGTCTACTCCAGCCTCATGGAAAGCTTGGATTTCCTCTGCAGGGTTTCCACCCAGCTCTGTTACTCTCCTGTCTGCAAAATTCCAAGCTTAGGAAACTCCCTTGTGAATCCTTGCAGAGCCAATTCTATCTTGGACTAAGACAGTTATTACAGTGCTCATCTAATAGTATTTAGACCCTAAAATTGCCTTCCCAGCATCTTTTTGGCCCTGGCCTTCAAACCCTTCCTGACTGGGGCCATGCCTAGGTCTCAGATTCATCCTTGGCTGTTCCCTTCTCAGGTACTCTGCTCACTAGGGCTTCTTTCGTTCCTCCAACACACCCAGCCCATTCCTGCTCCAGAGCCTTCTGAATCCAGTGCTTGTCTCCTGAGTTTTGCATGAAATTTAATTTCCATTCATTTGACACCTATGTAGAGGAACCTTCCTGGATGACCACAGCTAAAATAGCTCACTCTTTAAGGGCTACATTTGATGATATTTTTAAAAAATCTGAACAGCAGAGCCTCTGTGAGCACCTCCCTCCTTTGCCAGCCTAGTCCTGTGAGCACATGAAGGGCCCTTAATTTGCTAGGACAGCCCAGTTTCGCACCTGGATCCATTGGCTCCTCTCCCGGGCTCTCCTGATCTCTAATTGCAGCAAAGCCACTCTTCCTAATCTCATATTTACCCAGATGATAGCAACATTCCCCGAGGCCCTCAGACTTCTTAAGGTCAAGCAGCCTTTAAACAGTTTTTATCTTGTTTAAATTACCTGGGTATCCACTCTTGGTGTGTTTCCTTTTTGACGGTTGTCAGACCAAATACGTGCTGCTGCTGGGGAAGTTTGGAGAAAGTTCAGGACAGGGAGTAACCCTAGCCAGCAGGGGAGATGACAGGCACGTATGTCAGGAAGAGAAGTTTTGTGTTTTTCACTACATTAAACAACAACAAAAGCGAAGAAGGTAGAAAATATTTAAAAGCTAGAGAAAGAGATGCAAGCTCTGGAGAGTCAGCTCTGTATCTTGTAAAACATGATTCCATTTACTTTCTTAATCCATCCTTCCTTCTGATATAGGGGAATAAATGTAACTCCCAACCTGTTAGATGTCAGATACACTGAGTTGTGTTCTCCAAAATCAAAGGATGAATTCTAAGAAACTATGGAGGTTAAGAGCAGGAAAAATTGGGCTGCGGATTTAGCTCATTGGTTCCAGCGCACACTTCACAAGTGCAAGGACCCAAGTTCAATCCCCAGTGCAAAAATGCAAACAAAGAGGAGGAAAGATTTATTGAGAGAGGAAGACTTATAGAGCAGAATCACAAGGTAGGTACAATGTGGGTCAAAACTATAATCAACTAATAAGATTACAGATATGGTCGCTTAGGTAACATTGATCCAATGGGGAAGCAGGTCACGTAGCAAGGGTACATAGAAAGAACAAGGACCTTTTTAGGAAGGGACGGATCAGGAGGTTCTGGTCACCCACCTGGGTGACTGATGTGTATCTAGACTTTATTGAACCAGGTGATACCAGTTATCTTACCCCCTGGGGAGGCGTGTAGGTCTGGTCATTCTGCCTTTACCTTGAGGCCTGGCCTCTAACAGATGTCCCTCCAGCCACGCGTATTGTGTTCCCATCTTCTTCACCGACCCTTGAGGGCCTCGCTCTATCTGACTGCCTGTAATGTTTCTACCTATCTACTTAGCTGTCTATAATAGAAAAATACACGCTGTTGCTAGGGAGGTTTGGAGAAAGTTGACGAGGGTGGGGAACCCAGCAGGTGAGATGACAGACACATATATCGGGAATAGAAGTTATGTGAACCAGGAGGATGGTAAGTTTGAGCCCAGACTGGGCAATTTAATGAAACCCTGTCCCAAAATAAAAAATGTAAAAAGGTTGGGGATGTAGCTCAGTGTGAAGGCTCTGAGGCCCTTGGTTCAATCCCTAGTACTGCAAACCAAACCAAACAACAAACCAAACCAAACCAAAAAGCCCCACCATATAAAATTTTCTTTGTTATTATTTTGTGGTGCCTCTGAGGCTCTCTCTGCCCTCATTTGCTTTGTGGTCAGACTTATAAGGCAAAGCTACCTTCCCACAGTCCTGTCACAGAAGATTCCAACTCAAATCACAATGGCTTAGAAGAATTCAATTTATTTTAAAAAATGGAAATGAACCTTGAATGCCTTTGTAATGTGAATAAAGGAGGCATGGCACAACTGGCTACTCCCAATCAAGGACATTCTGAAGTCCTGCCAGCCCATGGCCCTTCACAGCCTGACCCTGCTTCCTTCCCAGTAGGAAGCCATACTTGGGAGAAGAAAGCAGGAGACAGAAAGGTGGCTGGCCCAGATTGAAGAAAGAGAGAGCACTGCAGTGAATCACATCAAAGGCGAGCCAGCGTGGGATCAGGGAAACCTGTGCAGGTAGGTTCAACCACAAAGCCCAGAAGGTTCTGTCCACCGTCAGGGGGACCGTGGAGTGGGGGGTCGGTGTAGCACCACCAGAACTCTGTCCTTATCCTCCCAGTGTTGCACCAGCTTGTTCCCAGAGGCCAGGTCGTATTCCCCAAGGCTCTGATGGCCGGCAGAGGTCCTGAATGGAAGTACGATTCCCAAGTTTCCCAGTTCCCTCTGAAGGCCTGCCTCTGGCAAGGGTACGTGAGCAGCACCACAAACACAGGATTAATCAGATGGGAAGGCTCATGGCATCTGGGTATCAGGAGAAATGTATTTGGTCTTTGTCCCTGGTTCCTGTCACAGAGTTCCCAAACCCCTGGAATTTCCTGAATGATAGGAGTCTTTTGTTATTTATAATAAGCCCCATAGGATAGCACTTGAGTTTGTGCTAATGAGATGATTTAGGAGCTGTCTAGGTGGCCTCAGTGTGGGGCCAGTCACCAAAGAGACCCAGAGATGAAAGGGTTAGAGTTAGAATGTCCAGCCCCACCCACAACCCCTGGGGTTGGGGTGATGGCGATTAAGCTCCTTAAAAACTCTGGAACCACAGACTCTGAGTTTTGAAGTTACTGAATGCATAGAGGTGACTTGAGGATGGAGTGCAGTGATCCCAAGAGGGTACAGAAGTCTGCCTCGCCATCCCCCACCCTGTCTGCCTCTTCATCTGGCTGTTCACAAATGTGTCTCCTTAAATTCTCAAATCCTCCTAGCAAATGAATGGAAATCAAGGAGGGGGAGTAGGAGCCGTGATTCATAGCTGGTCTGTCCAATGCATCAGTGATGACCTACTGCTTACTGTTGTCACCTGAAGTGGGGGTGGTCATAAAAGTTGGGTGCAGTTCAGCAGGACAGCAAGAGCCCTTCAGGAGAAAGATCAGCTCGGCCAAAGGTCTCTCCCTTCAGGAGCGCTCTGGTGATTATGGCTCCTCCCATCCCACCAACCATTCCCTTCCTTGCTGCCAAAGTCACCTTTTAAAAAATAAAAATGTGTCATCCCCCCCAACACACAGCTGAAAATTATCCAGCATCTCCTGATCTCACCTCAAAAATGAATAAACGCATGCCCGGGGGTTGGCACAGTTTTTCTGTAATAGGCCACATAGTAAATATTTTAGGCTTGGCCTGACTTAAGGTTTCTGTTGTGCTGCATGATGAACTGCGCTGGGAGAGGCCAGAAGGAAAGGATGTTTAGGGGGACTATTCAGTTAAAGTCATCTCGGAACGAAGGTTGCCAGAAACTACATGCGAAGGAGCAGGAATGACTATCCCAAGAAGGCTTTATTTATGGGTAACACGCATGGGATCGCTGGGATTCTGTAGACTTTCCAGATCTTTGGAATCCTGAACAAAGAATTAGACAAGATGCATGAAAAAGGTAGCCAGGTTTTACATTGATTAAAGGTAAGAAAAGAAGTATGCTCTGCAGAGTGAGAGCAGCCACAGAGTTCACAGTGGCCACGAAATTAACAAAGGTGTTTTGTGTCCTGCATTCTTCAGACTCATATCAGATCTATGCCATCTTATTAAAAACCTGCTTGGATTGAAGATAACAATTTCTTTCATCGCTTCTCAGCCTTTTGGCTAGGATTAAGTAAAGATAGCAATTTCTGATTGGTCCCAGGTACAAGGGTTGGGAACTGTATTCTGCCAGTGTGTCCTGAACCTCTGTGATGGACAGGTCATGCCCACTTGTTTAGCTGGTTGGCCATGCCCTCATCTGCCTCAAAGGGGTTGTAGGCCCCAGCTCTTGGGTCAAAATCTGTGTATGTTCTGTTCTTGTCTCGGGATGCTGTTTTCTAATTATCACATGGATGGCCCTAAGTACTAGATAACTTAGTAAACAGATTAGCCATATATTTGGACTTAAAAATGAAAAAAAAAATTGGAAAGAATTTGATTAGGGAGAAATGAAACTTTTTCTTTTATCTTCTTTGCACTTATTTTAAGCCTTGGTTGATTATTTTTATTTCAACCTACTCCGTGTGGAGGGAAGAAAGACACCATCATCTTAACGTATTTAAATAGGGCCTCACAAGCTCAGTGTAACCCTGATGGTTCCTTCTGGTAAACTCTGGTCTCCTGACACATGTTACCTTCTCAGGGAAGATTTCTTGGATGCTGCAGTCTTCATGATGCCTGATAATTTGAACCCAGGACCTTATGCATGTTAGGCAAGCATTCTATTCCTGAGCTATCTGCAACCCTTTAAAAAAATGTTATTTGAGACAGAGTGTAGCTAAATTGCCTCATTGGGCTTGAACTTGAGACCTTCCTGCCTCGGGCTCCTGAGTAGCTGGGATTACAGGCTTGTGCCACCACACTCAGCTTTCAGCTATTTTACTTTATTTATTTTGGTACTGGGGATTGAATTTAGGATCTTGCACTTGAGAAGTAGGCGGGTGGCACCACTGAGCTAAACCCCTGGCCTGCTATTTTACTTTCTCAAGAATGTAATCATGGGGTCAGGGATTTACCTCAGTGGTTCCGCTGCCTGCCTCACAAGGACTCAAATTTGATCCTTGGTACAAAAAAAAAAAAAAAAAAAAATTAATCATTATCTAAAATTACCAAAGTCATTCATAGGTTTCCTTATGCACTGTTTTCATTTTGCACAAAGGCCTCAGAAGCTCAGGAATTCTGTCATCTTCATCTCTGCATCCAGTGCCCAATAATAGTGCCTGGAACACAGAAAATATTTGTTGATTGAATGAATGAGTGGAACGAGTATCATGAGAAAGTAAGAACTAAAACTATGTCAAGAGTGAGATCCAATGAGAAGGGAAATTCTCTGGTTGCCCTTCAGATGGCTTTAAAATTGACTTTGAAACCTGGTTGGAGAACGGAGTCAGCCTTAGCCAATGGAGCTATATCAACTTGGGCAAAAGCAAGTGTAGAACTTATGAGATCTGAGGGAGTCTGTTGCAGCCATCCAAGAAGGAGATGATGCTGGGCTGGGCTGCTAATGACAATGGAGACCCGGAGAAGAGGTACAGTCGGATTTACAAGTGGCAGAACAATTGGCAGGATTTGCTGATGAGTTCCATGGAGGAATTGGAGATACGTGAGCATATCCATGGGTTTTCAGCACAGAAAATAGAAATCACTGTAATTATTTGTTACAGTTTGGGTCTAGATGTCATCTGCCCCCCAAACCCTCATGCGGTCAGAGGTTTGTCAGAGGTGGCTGACTCTAGAGTGTGCTGGGATTAAGGGTGTGTGGTTACTAAATCAGTCCACTGATTGGCTTGGCACTGCCCTACCCCAATGTGCTGGATACAATACAAAGAGCAGAAAGAGCCTTGTCTTCCTCCCCTTGCTCCTTGTTGTTTTTGCTGTCTTCCACTGCCATGAACTCTTGCCTTTCTACCATGTGCCATCCTGCCTTGGAGCCAGCCGATGATGGACTGCAACTTCTACAAGGTGTGAGCTAAATAAACCTTTTCTCCTCTAACTTTGGGTGTCTGGTATTTTATCTCAGCCATGAGAGAAAAGTAACTAAAACAGCATTTTATTTATTTATTTGTACCAGGATTGACAAAACAGCATTTTAAACAGAGGAAATTTAACAGAAGGAATTGGTAATAAACATGTAAGAAAGACTGAAGAAACAAAAAAGGGTAAGATATGTGGGAAGTCACTGTCACTTCCGACTAGAGGAATAGAGCAAGAGGTGATGTTATCACAGCCCAAGAGTATCTGGCCTCTGACACTGTGGGAAGCCACTGATAAGGTTCGAGCTGGTCACCCCCAGGACGACTGATGCCTTTCCCTGGAACCCCTGGAGGCTGCCAGAATCCCACTGCTGCCAGTGCTGCCTGCTTCAGCCACTGCCAGAAGCATAAAGTGTGTGTGGGGTGTGATCTCTCCCTCCTTTCATGCAGTTTCCCACCAGTGCCTCCCACTGGCTGCATGGAACTGGGCCAGCTGGCAAGGAAATGTGGGAAATGCATTTCACAGGATTTTAGCCACTTCCAGAAACGCAGAGCACAGTGTGTCAAGAAGGGTTCTTAGTTCACATAAGCCACGGACCAGCACAGGGAGAAATTAAAGCTTTGTTGTCAAGTAGGAAAAGCAATCCCATTCCCTTTAAATTATTTTCATTTTATAAAAGTAGCATGTGCCCATTTGAAAAAAAAAAAAGCAAAAGTAATAGAACATCAAAAATTTCAAGCTGGGTGTGGTGGCGCATGCCTATAATCCCAGCACTTGGGAGGTTTAGGCAGGAGGATCGCTGTGAGTTTGAGGCCAGCTTGGGCTACATAGTGAGTTCCAGGTGAGTCTCAACTACATAATGAGACCCTATCTCAAAAAAACAAACAAACGAACAAAAAATTCAATGGTCCCACTTATCTAGAAAGTCACTAAAAACATCTTAATGCCTCTCTCTCACATACACACACACACACACACACACACACACGCAAACACACACTTATCTTTTACCTTATATGTATTCTGTTTTGTAACCCAGTGTGCTAAATTTATTTAATACGTGTTTGGGGGGCACTTATTTGTACCAGCTAGCTTCTGGTTGAGTATGTATTTTCTACCATCTTCCTATTAATAAATATTTAAAGAGAAACTAATGTAGCTAGTTTGCAATTTAATGCAAGTTTTCAGTTTAAGAAGATAGTTCATGAAGAATATAATCACTGAGTTCCCTTTGGATCATCATGAGATGGTTTACTTGGGTAGAAAGAAGAAAAGCTCATTATTTTAGACTTCAAGTGGAACGCTGGGTGTTTTCTTGCGCTGTTTTGTTTGCTCTGTTGGGGGAAGTGTGCAGTGTGGAGGTGGAGGGAACTTGGGCTGCAGGACTGCACTAGAACTGTCTGTCCCACGTGGGTCTGGTCTCTACTGAGTCCAACTTGTGATGGGGAAGCTGGTCCCCTGGAATGCACAGGAGGCTGGAACCCAGGTGAGGCATCTGCAAGAGCAAAAGCTGCTTATCGCCCTCATTCAGGGCAACTACACATTTCTTGGGTGTCACTGATTAAAAAGCTTATGACTAGCTGGTCTTGGCAGCGTACACCTGTAATCCCAGCACTCGGGAGGCTGAGGCAGGAGGATCACTGTGAGTTCAAGTCCAGCCTGGGCTACACCGTGAGTTCCAGGTCAGTCTCAACTACATAGTGAGACCCTGTCAAAAAAAAAAAAAAAAAAAAAAGCTTATGACTACTAGTGACTAAAACCATGACTTATACTGGCTTTAAAGATGAGGAAATGTGTTCTCTCCCATAACTGGAAGTCCTGAGGTAGGATAGGCTCCAGGAACTATAAGATAAGCAGCAATGTGATGTCTCTAGGGTCCCAAGTTCTTTGAACACTGCTCTGCCTTCCTCTGTTTTGGCTTCATCCTGAGACGAGGCTCCTTTCTTGGTGATGAGGTTGCAGGCTGAGTTTCCTTTCTTCATGTTCAGCAGGAAAGAAAAAGACTTCTCCCGTCCATATCAGTTCTCTTCAGTTCAAGCAAGCCAGTGACTCTTATGACTGGTGCATGTTAAATTACCAGGGTGCTTTATAATTTGCTTATTGCTATTATTTTATATATATACTTTATTACATACTATTATTTAATTTGAAAAACCTGTCATTATCTAGGATTTGTCCTCAGAAATATGAATTTATTAGTCTAGGGCGGCGCCCAGCTCTGGGCTGTTTTTAGAAGCTCTCAAGCAATTGTACACCCAGGGTCTAAACCACTGAATTTGGTGGTATAGATCATTTGCTCACCCACAAACCACTATTGGTCACTGTTGTTATGCCAGGAATGGATGGATTAAAACTGCATCTCAAAGTGTGGTTCCAGACCAGCAGAGGCAGTTCCTGGGAACTGATCAGAAATGCAAATTAAGCTGGGTGGAATGGTGGATGCCCATAAATTCAGGATTCTGGGAGGCTGAGGCAGAAAGATCACAAATTCAAGCCAACCTGGGGAGTTTGGCGAGTTAGCATGATCCTGCCTCAAAATAATACATATATTTATAAAAGGTTAGCGATGCAGCTCAGTGCGAAGGCCTGTAGTACAAGGTGAAGGCTTTGGGTTCAGTCCCCAATACCATGGGAAAGGTGGGGGTGGGGAGAAAGAAGGAAGGAGAAAGAGAAAGAGAAAAGGAGTAAAGAAAAGAAAAAAAAAAGAAGAAGAAGAAGAAGAAAGGCAGGCATAGCATGGGCTCCACCCAAGCCTACTGAATCTTACTTCTAGGGCTGGGGCTCAGCAATTGGAGTTTAATTTACCAGGTGATTTTTATGGACAGCAAAGTTTGAGAGCCACAGCCAATCAAGCTATTTCTCCGGAGTGAGAGAGGAGGTAAAGGGGTCAGCAAATACTGAAATCTGGTAGGACAGTGAAGCCCAGGACTGGTAGTGCCTGGCACTCTGCTCCTGCCACCAGGCCAGGAGAGAAGAGGATAAGATCAGCTATGAGAACCTCAGAGACCCTTGGATACACAGAGGCGTCCTTCTAAATGGTCCCACCAAAATGAGCTGATAGGAAGGGAATAAGGCATGTTCTATGAGTATCCATCCCTTTCCACCTTGGGATCCCTAAACCAGTTTCTGCAGGAGCTAATGAGCTAGGAAGAGTAATTTAGTATATACAATGGACCCTCACGTTATGACCAGCCTGACATATGAACAAGTTGAATTAATTAGGTTAATGGCAGATTCATCTGCCTCTTGCTATCTATAGCTTGTACCTAGGTAAACATCCGGATGTCAGCTGTATTGACTTAGTTACATACAGCCCCAGGAAACTGATCAATTTCACAAGTCAAGGGTCTACTGAATTTCCCTGAAAACACTGTGAACTTACTTCAGCCTCTTCACAATTTCAAAAGGATCCTGGAAAAGAAAAAGGTCATTAAGTAGAAGTGAATGAAATTTGAACAAAACAAGGACTTTAGGTAATAATAATATATCAGAATGGGTTCATAATTCATGACAAATCTAACCATACTGATGTATGATGTAACAACAGAGGAAACTAGCTGTGAGGTATAATAGGAACATTACATATAAATCTTCATAGCTTTTCTGTACATCAGAAGTTATTGTAAAATAAATTTATTCTAAATAAGATAAAGTAAGGTATAAAAATGCTAATAAATAAAACACCTTAGGAAAGCCTTTACAAAAGTATTCTTTATTAAAATTTCACTATGTTTACTAAGTTCCACTGAATCATTCACTTTGAAATAGCTAATTTTAATGGTTTAATTCATGGTTTAGTTTTAAAGGCTTGTCAGTCTTTTGACTAAAATCAAATGAAATCAGGTTAGTTTTACATTTTGTGAATTTTATCTCATTAAAACAAAATGGATGCATACATTAGGAGAGTGAGTGTACTCTCTTTGTGAGAGTTAAGAAGGCAGAAGGATCCCAGATTTCCTCTTCCACTCACCAGAGTCTTCTCACTCAGGAAAGTTACTAATGTCCAGCCCCATGGAGCCTTTGTTTCCTCATCTGCAAGAAGATGAACTGGGACAAGGTCACCACTAAGATGCCTTCCAATTCAAATTCCAAGGAAAAGCAGCTCAATATCCTTCTTTCTCCCTTCTCCTTCACATGCTGAAGATAGCATTTGGGCAGATGCATGCTGGAAAACAATGTTGTGACTAAATGTCTTGGAAAATAGTTTCAGTTGTTAATATGAAAATATGCTTTAATATTTGTTATGGTTGGGATTATTAATGTCTCCAAAAGGCCTGGATGCTAAAGGCTTGGTCACCAGCCTGTAGCACTACCAGGAATAATAGAAACTCTTAGGAAGTTGGGCCAAGCACCCACAGATTGAAACTTTTGAAACTATGAGCCAAAATAAATCTTTCCTTCTTATAAGTTGATTAGTTCAGATATTTTGGTAACAGTGACAGAAACCTGACTGGTACAGTATTCATCATGAAAATGATACAGATTAATGGATAATCAACTAAAACTAATGTACTTGAACAAGTAGTTTGGGGTTTGCCTTTCTGATGCTCAGACTCAAGAGGCCATGCCTGGCTCCAGCCTGTCTGTGCCCTTCTGTGTAATCATATGCTTTAATTTTTCCCAGCCCCAATATCTCTGGTTTCTGTGCCAGATGCAGTGCTGGAAGCCTCAGGCTGATTTGGAGAACCTTGGTTGATTAATAAGTGCCCTTGACAAGTAGGGATGGTGCCATAGGATTGAATTCCACTCTACACCATGCTTTGCAACCAAAGTCATCTAGAACAGATGGCCATGTTACCAGAACTGTGTGTAGACTGCTGTTCTAGTTACAAGACTAGTTGCACTTTACTGTGAAATTATTGAAATATTATCTGGATAGTAATTACCCAGTCATGAGATTTAAAACCCTGGGTCAATGTGTTTATTCTGGGAGGTGAGTATATAATAATGTTATATATTTGTCTTGTTTGACCAACATCTCCTTCACCAGTTACTGTATAGGTTTCTAGCCCTCCAAATTGTATTCCTGTGAGTATCAGTGTATCTACAAAAGCCTTCATCTTGTAAATTTTTGGCCATCTATTAAGGATTATCTGTCATTCCTTCTCCTTTTTAATGCTGGCCCTCTTCAGGGATATCTATTTCTGATCTCCACAACAGTCCCTAAAGCTGTGAAAACCACAAGCCGCCCACCACCAGAGCCCATGTTCAGGCTGCCTCATACCTGCTTTCTCAGTTACCCCTGGAGGAGATCATTCAAGGGGCCAAAGTAATTCCTGGGATTCAAGCAAAAGTGGGAGAATCCCTCACACACACACACACAC